TCCGGTAAAGTTTGGCCTGAGGTGAATGTGTTCCTGGAGACCGTCTCCTAGATCCCATTGACTTGCTGTGTCATTTATCACTGGCAGCAGAGGTGACCGTGAAAAAGAAAAGGTGCCCTCGATGCAGGAACAACATAAACAGGATGGAGAGCGTCTCGAGATTCCCACTTGAAGGGAGTGCTACAAAAATGCTGTGGGCCTCTGTGAATAGAGGCAGGCAGTCTCTTCTTTTTTATTTCCACATTTTCATGCCCTCTTTGTCTCTCGCACTTGTTCAAGACATCTCCCTGCCCCCATGTTCGTAAAAACAAGATGGTTTTCTGAGAGGCTTTCTGCATACACTGACTTGCCACATCGACAGAGACGTAATTTGCACGACTCAAGTCAGACAAACTCGGGTGCCCCTTCCCCAGAGCCCCGTATGGGGAAGGTGCAGGATGTCGTTATCCCTTGTTTACCTGCGGCGATGAAAGTTATGTATGTTACATTATGGTAATGACCAAGGCAGTGCAACCTTATTTGAGGTGAAATATGGTATCTATAAGTTGCTCCAGGAAGTAAAACTGAGCCAGTGAGTGTGGATGAGAATGTAAAGGTGGAATGCAATAAAATGCAAAATAAAAGTGTTTTGGTAGGTGACAGAGCTCGGAAAGCATTCGAGCTGTACATCGGAAATGGGATTAAAGCAAAATGAAGATGTATTTTAATGCTGGCCGTAGGGATGGGACAAAATATTGATGTTGAATATATACCGCATCATATTCATAAACCACCATCAAATATCCATATTGCGGCTGTCTGATTAAATTCTCCTCCGTGCACTGTCAACACTGCAGAATGGTCGACGGAAAAGAGTTTCATTGCTTTTCAACCAGCGTCTCCTTTTCCGAGACTTGCTCATACGTATTTGCGGTTATTTTATTGTTACGTTTCAGGAAACAAACGTGGTTCACATCCACGTAGCTCTCAACAAAACAAACGTTTTTCCTACATTTTACCTTCTTCAGTTCGACAATTATCTCAACCTTTTGTGGGTGTTTTTTTTTTCTTCCACTGTATTAGCGTTATTCATATGATGGCAAAAAAAGACAAAAATCGCTGGGCTGCGATGCAATTGGTTCATGCTGGTTATGGTGAGTGACTGTGATTCCCGCCACAAGTTAGCGGATGGAAATTCCAGCAGATGCTTAAAAGAGATAAGGCTGAAGGCTGATTATGTATTTTGACATCACAATAAGCACAGATGGCACTGCAGAGCGGTGATGAAATTTCAGGAAAAAACAAAACAAAAACAAAACGAGAACAACGTCGGCAACATTAAGGGCATCTAAAACATAACTGCGGTGCACCTTGTATCATCAAAACTGGAAAGTAAAGCGCACCAAGTGGGCTGCCTCGCTTGAAGAAGGAGAATTAGACTGCCATCGTATTACCAATACGGTCGATCAGCATTTTTACCTCATACAAAACATGAAGTCAGCAGGAAACTATAACCGCCGCAAAGTGATGTGATGGATAAGTGGTGTTGTTTCCTCTGTGCTAGATATAAATCAGCATGTCGAACAACCCCGCTGGTTACATTTGTTGTCTACTTGTCAACAGATTGCCCTGCCCGATTTAGCAAAATTGTCAGACTTCCTCGGGCATACCTTTTCACTGACGAGACGCCGTTAATAACGTTCAGTGAAATCGGTGGCGGCGGTGTGATTCATCCTGCAGAATGTCAACCTGCATGGGTCGGGTAAGGCAAAACTGCAGAAGAACCAAAAGTCCATCTGACCACAAACAGAACTGTCCAAAAGCAATCCAAAAACAAAAAAAGCTGGACTCATCTCAGTTGTGAAGCACTCCATTTCTCTTCTCTTTCCGCCACAATGCCCGTTTGTTGGACTCAATGGGAAAGGACTGTCAATTCAAAGCCATGTGGCTCAAGAGTAAACGCTTGACTGGACTGGGGGTTGGAGGGCTTTATGTGTGTGTGTGTGTGTGCGTGCGTGCGTGTGTGAGACCGGAATACCAAGTTCACAAAGAGAGTATTTAACTCGTCGGCTTAGACCGCGATGAGAGAGTGACAGCTATCTGCACAATCAGGGACAAACGACAAACGAACCTGAAACAAAAATCTCTCCCGACTTGGACTTAATCACATACGATCGACCCTGCACGATGAGACATGACAGCGAGGGAAGAACTCAAACCCAAGCATGCGCCTATCCCGTAAGTCACCCCGCGATCAGAGTCACGCAAAGATGAGACGAATCAACAACTTTAAATGGAGAAAATCCTACCGTGTCCGAAGATCCACAGGAGCACGAGGAGCCGAGGGATCATGATTAAGAGTGCGAGAGGGCAAAACCTAGGAAAACAAAAGAGCGGAGGAGTGTGAAGTTGGCCGGCACGAGAGGACACAGCGCTTCTCTGTGCTGCCGGGAGGGACGGGTGCTTCTCGCCCTCCTGTTTAGTGTGTCCGTTTACCAGAATGTCTTCCACAGAATGTCTTCGGTCTTCCGCCGATCGTCCTCCTCTTCCTCCTCCTCCTCCTTCTTCTTCTGTCTTTTTTTTTAACCCCGTGTGTCAGTCTTCTGAGTCGCCGGTGATGATCTCAGGCTCACATGCTCTTCTCGTGATGGGAGCTTCTTGTACTTTCAATGTCTTCTCTGGCTAAAGTCGCGCATCGTCTCGCTGGCCGTCCATACTCCAGCTCATCAGCGCGCGCTCGCCCAGTCTCTCTCTCTCCATCACACTCTCTCTCGCACCCCCTCGCTCGACCACTCGTAACACAGTCATGGGGGGGGGGGGGGGATGGCGACTCCTCCCTCTCTCGTCCCCTCTTCTCAGCGTGTCTGTGTGCGAGGTGCACATCCTCACTCTGGCAACGGGAGCAGTCGTGGGAGAAACATTCGAGGGTGCAACTCTAATTTGAATCAGAATACGAGTCCCTTGGCAGATTTAACCCCCCCCCACCCTTTTCCCTCTTAGACTCTTCTCTCCTTTTAGCTTTCTTTTTTCTTTCTTTTCACTTCTTTTGTTTTTTTGTTTTTTTTTTGTTTTTTTAGGACACTTTGATTTCCTGGACCATACAGAAACTTCACATTCAACTTCACCAATCCTATCCAATTCAAGCGATCAATCAATTGTCATGAGAAGAGGTGTTTTTAGTTTCCAAAGCAAAATGCATTTTTAGATTGCAAGTTTTAGATTGAAGAAAAGATAAATACGTTCTTATGATGCACTTAATAGTTATCAATGCCTTATGACTGTTAGCATTAGTATTATTGTTATCACTATTATTACTTATGAGCAAGTTTCAAGCTATTGCCATTTAGTCATCTCTTCTGTTGAACGTAATGCCTCCGCCACTCACATTAAAATACTAGACAAAGGAGGTTCATTGTAAAGTGTAAGAAATATCATTGAGTTAACAATATTAATATTTTATTCATCATGCAAAAGTGTAAAAAAAAAAATTCTCTCTCTCTCTCTCTCTCTCTCTCTCTCTCTCTCTCTCTCTCTCTCTATATATATATATATATATATTCTTTTTTTTAGCGTGGGAGGAAGCGGAGTACTTGGGTCGATCCCACACGAGCATGGGGTGACATGGAATCGCTGCACAGGACCATTAGATCACCATGCCGATCCATACACAATCAATAGCAGACACACAAACAAACCGTGTTCCTCAGATTACACTCAATCGGATTTTTATGCAATCATACGCATCAATATCAAATTAACCAGCGGTAAAGAGGCTCATGTGAGAAAGGGCAATGCATCTTGTTTGTCCAGAATTTTCTCAGGCATGCATGTAAAAGCTCAAAATGATTTTGAAGAGAGGAATACTCATAAAGAAACCATAAACGAATCTACTTTTGTATCTAATATTTTGCATATTTGCCTTCTTGTACTGGATGCCTTTTATGAACCCTGCTTAAAAAAAAAAAAAAAAAGAAAAGACACATTAAGATGACGGACGGGTGCTGAGTTTTGACGTCAATGGAATGTGACACATTTGTTTATTTCTCTTGGGCCTGCACGTTTATTGTTAGGATCGAAGAAAAGGTCCGAAAGTCTGCTCTCTGCCGTTGCGTGTGTCTCGTGTGTAGAACTGCGTTAGCCTCAACTTGTTTTTTGATATTAGCAAATCAGTCAGTTGTCTCTCAAGGAAGCACATTTACCTCTTCCTTGTCGGGCACAATATTCCCCCCAGACGCAATACATGTTTGTCCGTGATTTCTTACACTCTCGTTCTCATCACGTCTGCAAAGGAGTAGGGCAGAGGACTTAATAGCATGGAATTAAAGGGCATAGAAAGGTGTTTCAAGAAATATGGAAGCGTAATGACATCCCATTTTCCTCCGGAACACCTTTTGGAACATAGACAGAAGGGGTGGAAATTAATACAGGTGGCATATTATTCTTGCACTTCATGTACGGGAGAGGAAGAAAACGTTACAGCTTTATCAATGCTAGGAACTTTGCAGGAGAAATATTGGGATTCAGTCATTTGAATATGCGCTTTTCATTTTATTCAAATAGGAGTTTTCACTATTGCTACATTTGTTGTGACATTTTTGCACAGGACTGTGTACATAGAGTACAATGTACGACAGGTCAAATGATGGTAAAACACAACGTTCATACCTTCAGGCAATTTCTTAGAGTACATTTTACTCCAAAAAGGTTATATTTCGAGAGTAAAATATAATATTTACTCGAAAATTAGTCGATTCATTTTAACAGAGTCCCATTTGTCCCCCTAATTGAGTTGTAGTTAAACATTTTGGAGTACAAGTACCCCCTCCGGCCACATAGAAAAATAATTTGAACGATATTTACCTGAAACAAACCTGGCAAGGTTTTTTTTTTCCCTTAGAAATTTCATTTTTCAAGGGGAATTGCAGAGTACAGTTTACTTGCCTTGAAATAGTTTATTTGAAAAAAAAAAGTCTCTCAAGGGTTTAGGAACAAAACTACAACCTTCAGGTCCGGAAACGGCCACCGAAACATTTTTTTTTTTGTTTTTGTTTTTGAGACACCAGCGATTTATGAAATCACAGTAGCTGGGGCATGGCTCAGGTGGTCGAGTGACCGCCTCACAACCTGAAGGTTGTGGGGTTCATTCATCAACCATTGAGTGTTTTTTTTTTTTTTTTTTTTAGCACAGCACAGAAGGCCAATAAGTGTGATTTCACTCCAGACACTGGAAACATCTTCCAAATCGATATGGTTCTGACAAAGAGAAATAATCCCTGAATTTTGTGGCTGACCTGTTCAAAATTGGACCAGATGGAGCGTGGTCAAGGAGCACATAGATAACCATCATGACGTCTGACCTTAGCGACCGTCCTCATCTGGAGTCCGGTAGCCACAACAAACTCGACGATGTTTTGCTTCAACAAGAAACGTGTGCAGAGTTGGAACCCTGTCCATCTTTTACAGACCAAGTGTTGCAAAATGGCAAAGCATAAAATTTATTTTGCTTTAAATGTGGCCGAAGTGTGGCAACACACTTCATAATTCAACAGACAGCAAGTCACTCCGCACACTCCAAGGTCAACTCTTGAGTTTTACAGTGACTTGGTCTGTCCCATGTGTCACCCTCGATGACTTCCGTCGGCTATTTACATACGCTAACCCATGGCATTCTTTTTACCCTTGTCTTTTGTAGGACATGTCACCCAATGTCAAATACAAAATGACATTTTCATCATTTAAAATATAACATAGACGTCCCCAATATACAATAACACCGATGTCAAGTTTAAACTATTCCACATTTGATGACAAGGAACAACTCACCACCTAAAAAAAAAAAAAAAAAGAGTTAATAGTAATAATAAGTTATATATATATGCTCGTCTAAAAAATTTTGTATCATGAGAAAGTTGATTTGTTTCGGTAATACTAAAAAAAAAAAAAAAAAAATTTCCAACAATTGTCTCCAGTAATTAACTGGTTGAGTATTATTTTCCTTTTAAACATTTAATTTTCTCTGTGCAAATACAGATAGGTCAACTTCTCTGACTGCGTGGTCAGCCTGCGTAATATGGTTATCTTGCCTCCAGAAGCGCGGCTCTGAAGGGCCCTAAACAGAATAAATGAGGAGCCGTGCAATTGAAGAGAGAAATAAAAGGGCATATAAAGTATTCCCGACACTGGTAAATCAGTTTTCCTTGGCAATTACAGGAAGATAGCGTGTATTTCATCTGGGGATGGGCAAGTGGATGGTGGTGGTGGGGGTTTGGCACTCAGGCTGTCAGACAATACAAGCAAAATCTATAGCCCGCAGTAAATCCTGAAGCTTTTAAAAGATATTTTAATGGCCTGCCCTGTCCTTTACATGGCGTACAATCTGATTATTAGTGTTGGAGGACAGGGGGGCTAATTGAAATGTCACTCAGCACTCAAGTGTCTTTCTTCTCTTTTTAGTGCTGAGAGAGGAGAATCATTCATTTGCCGAATAGGCATCAGGTATCCATGATACATAATAACAAAATGAAGCAATATACAAAATGTAAAAAAAATAAAAACGGGCGATGCTATCTGTGACGGTGATTAACCTCAAAACGAGAGAGAGTTTTGCTTTGCCTTGTTAATTAAGTCTGCAGCAGGATAGCAAAGCTCAGAGGTTGTCATGGGAAAACAGAAGATGACCCATATAATGAGAAAGCATTAGCTTCGGGGCTTCTCCTACAGTCGTCATACTTTTTTTTTTTTTTTTTTTCCACAGACGATTGTGTCCCTCGAAAAGCAACTATATCCAGATTTTCTACTTAAGCCACAAATGTATCTTCAGTGACCCTTGGAAACAGAGAGGGAGTCTTGATAAGACGTCTGTGACTTTCTTTCATCAAAATACCCAGAGGAGCAAGAATTACAGCACACTTCTACCCAGGGATGGGTATCGATAAGATTTGATCAATACTACTACTCTTAACAATACTGCTTATCGATCTACTGCCTTAACGGTATTCTTATCTGTGCTTGCTTTGGAAGCAGTTATTCTTTTTTTTTTTTTTTTTTTTTTTTAGAACAGCCTACAGCCACACAACAAACCATTTTGCCAAAAATAGCCAAAGTCCACTAACAGAAGGCCAAATCTGACCAGTTACCAAAAGTCTATCCCAAACACATCGTGATAATTAAGACAATATGGCATTGACAAATCATTTGACATGGATTAGAAAACGTGAGGGCAGCCCGGTGGTCGACTGGTTAGCATGCCGGCCTCAAATTGCAGAGGTGCAGGGTCCATTTCCGGCTCCGGCCTTTTTGTGTGGAGTAAGCATGTTCTCCCCGTGTCTGCGCGGGTTTTCCATGGGTACTCCGGTTTCCTCCCACATTCCAAAAACATCCATGGCAGGTTAATGAAACACTCTAAATTGTCCGTAGGTGTGATTGTGAGCGCGGATGGTTGTTTCGTCTATGTGTGCTCTGCGATTGGCTGGCAACCAGTTCAGGGTGTCCCCCGCCTACTGCCCGAAGACGGCGGGGATAAGCTCCACCACCACTGCGAACCTTGTGAGGATAAAGCGGATCGGAAAATGTGGGGATGGATGGATCGAAAACGTTAAGATCTTTAACAACACTGCTACAGTTCCAACTTTATTGGAATTTGGGTTTGTAAAAAAAAAAATAATAATAAGAAAAAAAAAAAATATATATATATATATATATATATATATAAATATATATATATATATATAAATTCTAACAGTCACTTTTCTCATACTTTCTCATTAAATGTCAAATGTTTTAAGACTTTTTCTCAAGTCATAT